AAACTCTAGCTTTCAAAAACGAAGAGTTTTCAAAAAATTAGGGTTTTAAAATTTTATTAAACATAAACATGTGATTCAGTATTTATTTTAGTTTTATTTCTTCTTTTCTCTTAAACATCCAAGTTGAACTAAAAATGTGAATGCTACTTTTTTAAAAGAGAAATGAAAAATTTGGAAAAGAATGGAAAACCTTGGATCTTTTAAAATACCGCTTACTCCAGTAAAAAACTGATACAAATTAATTTATACCAAAACTTTCAATATTATCTACTCCCCATTATTTACTATTTAATAAAAGGTTAATAAAACCATTACTTTTCATATAACAAAATGGTTTCTTGTTCTAAAATTTCAATTTACTTGCTGAATGCTTTATCATATATAATTCGGATATCTAAAACCACAAATATAAAATTTCAGAACGCCCAATTTTTTTCAATTTCAAATCATTTAAAATTTTCAATAACTTTACTTCTTACTTAACGGTTAAACAATTAAAAAACGTGTCCAGTAGTTTACAAAGGTATCCAAACGTCTTTGCGAATATATTTTTAGGAAGACCTTTATACCAAAATTGAGCGAAAACCATATAAATACGATACTATCGACGATATATCGTTAGTTTGGAAAATAATATCGAATACAATCGATGGTCTGACTATCGATAATCTTGCACCTCTAATATGTATTAGAGTGGTCCAAAGTAAAGTAAAGTAAAGTCGGAATTTTAATGCCGCCTCTCGCTGGGATTGTTCTATACCGAAAAAATATACAACTATATTTTATTTTGAAATCAAAAAATATTTAGGGAGTCTCAAAGCGCTCACAGTTTTTCATATATTTTATATGGGGGGAAAACAAGTTTTCATATAAATGGTATATAATTCTTGAAAATCAATATTTTTCGATAGGAAAAATGTGGTTCTCTTCCTGAGCCATCCACTATTAATATCCTATTGTTTATTTAACAATTTTTTAGTACTAAAGATTTTTTATTGATCCCCCCTTTCATTTTGTGGTTATTTTGGCGGACCTACAAAATATTGTTACATTAAAAAAACAAAAATTGTTAAAGAAACTATTGTGCATTATATTTAATTGGAAATACCCTGAAGGGAAACAGAGGTTTCCGATCGAAAAATATTGATTTTCAAGATATTTACACCATTTCTCCGAAATACATGGAAAACTTTGAGCGATTTGAGCACTCCCTAAATTTTTTTTTTATCTCAAAATAAAAAAATAGGGATATATTTTTTCGGTATAGAACAATCGTAGGGGGTGGCGGCATTAAAATTCCGACATTGCTTTTTCCCCACATGCATTTTTGGACCACCCTAATATATATGTATGAATTCACCTTACCAAAAGCGTTCCTGGAGCCGAAAGGAAAAGTCTTTCTGATTTTCAATTTCCTATTTTAATTTTCAGCTCCATGACGTGGCTGTAAGAAAAATCAAAATAATTGGACGAAATTTTATTTTTCGATAAACCTTTCCTAAAACATCTCACAAATGCTTAAGCCGCTTCTAACTAAAGTGAAGTTTTGTGGCATATTTGCTGTCTCGTTCAGTGTGAACACCAACTGTTTAGCGCAATTCCTATTTCATTTATTTTTACAACAGAAAAGAAAAAAAAAATAAAATAAAAAACCATCCACAAACATGAAATATTAGCCAAATGCTAAACGTCAACAGCTGGTTATCGATAACTTAATACATAATTTGTTTGTTTTTGTATTGCACCGGGTACTAACGCCTGCGCATAGGCTACGACTTTCTAATTGCAACATGTGCGCCATAAAGACAGTTGTCGTAGAAACACAAATACATGCATACATATCGGCATACATATGCAATTGCCAACAACCGCTAGAGATGAGACATTTTTCGTTGACGGCTTAAAAGCATTGACGTTATGGAAACGATGCGATAAACAATAATACAAAATGTTTAAAGCAACGGTGGTTGGTCTAAACAAAACACAATATCATACGAATACAACAAGTACATATATTTGAACATACATAAGTACAATATGTATGTATGTATGTATATCCACAAATATACATATATTTGCCCATTTCCAGAGTACCACAGTATCGTTTATGACTTTGGCTTGCGCAGAACAACGAACGGAAACCGAAAACTTAAAATATTACCTATGTATGTAGTATGTATATCACATTATGAAAATGAAAAAAAAATAATTGCATTAAAAAAAAATGTTAAAAGAGGAAACCGGATATAATAACATTTGCATGTTGAATGAATAAACGCAGTGAAGCATGAAAAATACAAAAGCGAAAATGCTTAACATTTAGTGTGTTTGTTGCTGGAACATGTATTGCAGTCTATACATCTTTGTACATATAGAAATTATATAATTTTAATAAAAATAAATTGTAAAATACAAAATTTTCAATAATTACATAAAAGTGCAAACGGAGGTGGAGCTAATACAAATAGCCAATAGAAATCAATATAATACAGCAATTGTGTATCCCAGAATGTGTACATCCGCATTTATTCGGCGACTGATTCTTTAAATTTGCCAAAGTCGAAAACTTGCACAAAATGTGCAAAATGTAATGTAAAGTTTAAGTTAAAAATAATTTGCCAAATTTTAACTTAAAATAATTCTATACTAAATCGAATGCACAATGGCCACGGTCAATGCAAATCCCATCAGCACCAGTTGTCAAAGCATCGCCTCGGCTGGCGGGCCGAGTGGTGGCAGTTTGGGTACGGTTGTTATTGGCGGCGCGACAACGGGCCAACGTTCGACAACGCACTATGTCAATGGCACTGGTAGTTTGGGCCGTCTCAAGTATCATCATAAGCATAAGAGTCTGGATGCAAGCGATGAGGAGCTCGATTATTCACAGGTATGTAACTGCATTTAAATAGTGGGCGACTGACCTGCAGGCAATGCGTTAATATGTATGTACATATGTATGTATATATATTGCCTTTTGTGTACACACATGCATACATAAATAACTTGTGCAAACCTAGCAAAAAATCGGTAATCGCTTTTAGTGGGGTAACGTGTTCTAGAACGCATTGCCTTATAATGTCTTCTAATTATTTCGCTTCTTTTGGGCATTGCCGGTAATGTGGCTAGAGAATACCGTTAATTTTTGGATTTTTTTTTTTGTTGGCGATGCTAGGCATTCTCTTCCATATAAAAAAATTGTCGAGTTCACTTTGTATGGGAAAATACATATGCGTGACACCGTCAGCAAAAAAAAAAACAAAAAAAAAAATTAAAAATGAACGGTATTTTGTAGTTAATTGAAACTTGTACTTTATTCTACTAAAATTGAATGGGCTACAAAAAATTTTTTCTAAAAACTCTGAATAAAAAGTTTGAAAATTTGGTGAAAATTTGTCGAGTTTTTATAATTTTTGTTCAAATTTTGAAAAACGGATTTATATAATATTTGTTGTATAACTAGCCACGATTTTATAAAAAAATATTAAATATAAAATAACCTAAAGAAATATAGCCAAAATTCTTAAAAGTACGACGAGTCTATTATTTCTGCCGCCAGTGTATGTACATACTAGGAATTCCGGTATCCCGGCCTTTTTAAGATTTATTGGCACATAATCCCGGGATTTTCGGGATTTGTAATTTGCATTGATGGCAATAATAGAAGCTCCTTTTCTTGACCATTATTGGCTATATTTTTTTTTTTTTTTAATAATTAATATTTTTTTTATAGATGTTTAGCTCATTATATACATATAATACCTTAACAGCTTAAAAATTACCTATTCGTTCATGTGAATCAAAAAAGTTTAATTTTTTTAAATTCCAAAGAAATTTCCACTAGTATTTGGTGCCCATAAATATTTTGCATTGAATGTTTTAAATAATTTTTAGTATTAATCATATCTTTGAAATTACAAAGTCCTTTAAAATAAATTCTGACGTAAGAGGGAAAAAATAAAAACGCCACTTAAAATAAAAAAGGTTTCAAACACATTTATTTATTATTTATTATATGGTAGGAGAGCTTCTCAAACAATATGGAGCCAATTTTTTCGATTTAAGTTGATGAAAAGTAATGAATATCTCAATCCCGGGACTAATCCGGGGATTGTGATAACGACATACCGAAAATCCCGGGATCGGAGAAACCTCAAAAATGAACCTCCCTAGTACATACCTAGCCCTTCTCTGTAAGGCATTGTTTGTTCGCTTCTCTGGATTCTGTTTAACCATGCGTTCTACATTTGTTCGGAAGTAATGTTGCTTACGGCCAATGACATGCCCATGTTAAAATGATGCCTTCTTGAAGCGAAAGGGTAATTCGATTTCGTTTTAATTTCTGTGGTAATCGTTTTTTTTTGTTGGGCATATACCTATGTATGTATGTATGTATCTAAATTAGACTGTGTCAAATAAAACAAATGTTTTGTTTCTTTCGGTCCCATTTGAAAATTTCGCTGTCGGCCACAAAAAAATAATTGTGGCAAAATTTCAGCCCTCTATTTCCATTTTTCAGTTAGCGCTACAAGAATTCGAATTTTTAATGAACAAATTTTTTTCCGCGACATTTTTTTTTCAAGAAACAATTAAATATGTATATTTATATAACAAATAAAAACAAACAACTTTGTAGCCCATTCAATTCTAGTATAACAAGTTCAAGTTTGAACTCTCTAGGATATACCGTTGAATTTTGGCTATTTTTTTTGGCTGACGGCGTCAGTAATTTTTTTCCATACAAATTGTGTTCGTCGAAAAAAATCAACGGTATGTCAACGGTGTTAAACTTTGGTAGATCTTATTTGGCCTACCCTGAACATACATACATACATATCGCATACACATTTGTATGAAAACTCTCTGCAAACTTTCTTCTTTTCTAATTGTAACAAATAGTAATTTACAATCGTAATATGACTGTTAATTGAAGACACAGGAAGCCTTATTACCCATGGACTTATTAACGTTATTACCAATTCTATTAAGTGCATTCAATACATACATATGTAGGAACTAATTTTGCACCCAAGAGCGCGTCTGGCAGTCCAATAATTACCAGAGCATTCATACAAATGCTACTGGTGAACTTCCTAAGCTAATGAATCTAGTTTCTTTTCCCAGAATTATTTACACTACCGGCAAAAAGTATTGGCAAAGCAAATTTTTCACAATATGTGCATACATTTTTTTCCTAATATTTTTACGCCAATTTTTTATAAAAATTCGGTTCATTCTACAACAAAAAAACAAAAAATATAATTCCTAAACTTTGTGCAAAACTCGCGAAAATGCAGCAAATTTTAAACTTTTTAATCAGATTTTTTAGAATTTTTATGAGTATGCAATTTTTTCAGCCCATTAAATTCTGGAAAAAAACTGCAAGTTCGGAGTTAGCCAAGATTTGCATTGATTTTTGAGAATTTTTTCTGTGCAAGGTGTTTTGCATTTTTTCCATATACAAGTAAAGTATTTTTGAGTTTTTTTTTGTATGGAAGAGACTGTGTGAAAAAAATTGCCAAAAATCAACGGTAATTCCTAGCTACTACAAACTCTGCATACTCAAAAGATTCTAAAAAATCTTATTAAAAAATTGAAAATTTGCATACAAATTTTCGGAATTTTCGTGAGTTTTGCACAAAGTTTAGGAATTATATTTTAATGTTTTTTGTTGTAGAATGAACCATATTTTTATGAAAATTTAGCGGAAAAATATTGGAAAAAAATTGTTGCATATATTGTGAACAGTTCGCTGTGCTAATACTTTTTTACATATTTAAAAACGAATTCTTCTCTGCAGCAAGAATTATTCTAAGTAGCAGCATTTTTATTTATTGGCTAGCTATTGAATAATTTTCCGAATTCTGAACAAAAATTGTCAATTCCCTGCCTTCTGTGCTTATTATTGGCCTCGAGTACAGACAAATCCTCAACAGAATTAAAACAACCATACAAAAAAAAAAATAAATATCTCTTTCGAATTCCTAAGCTGAGTCGGCCGCTAAATCCAAAAACATAATTCGGCTTTTTCACTCATATTTCCTCCTCATGTACATGTCTGGCATTTGTATTAGTGACA